ACTAGACTATGTACACTATGGACTTCTGCGTTGTCCGCTGCATACGATTTCTTACCACAACCAACTCCATGACATTGTTCCACGCTGCTGCGACATTGTATGCTAGTTTTCTTGCTCGTAAACCATCTGCAGCCGAGATAGTGCAATTAATTTAAGATACCACACATACATTTAATCGAACTCCTCTACGGGCAATGCTAGTCCACATTGAAGGGGTCTTCCACGATGTTGTTGTTGTTGTTGTCTTCACATTAATAACCAGCCCGGTCTCTCTATCCGGTACCTCCTTCTGTCTCAATCTCTCCGTACTAATCCAGCACTTGACTCGGTCAATTTCCGTGGTCACAGGCTAACGTACCTAGAAAAGGTATACCAAAATATAATGGACCCCAAGGGTTAGCAGAGCGATAAAATACAAGAAAACAAAAGAATCAGAATCNCATTGAAGGGGTCTTCCACGATGTTGTTGTTGTTGTTGTCTTCACATTAATAACCAGCCCGGTCTCTCTATCCGGTACCTCCTTCTGTCTCAATCTCTCCGTACTAATTGTCTCCGTCTTCCTCTCCGACACCGTCAGCCCGAACTCCCGGAACACCTCCACGATAATGGTCATCGATGCAGGTACACAATTAAGGCACCCGGGTATATCCGCGCCATCTCTGACGCGTCTCTCTACAAAACCAGTGACGTCACCACACACACCCGACACCTGTATTCAGGAAAAACAACGGAAAAATAATTGACAATACAAGAGATGTTTGTCCGTGCGCCACGGTTCGATGCCGTCCGCCTGCTCCGGTTCCGCTGCTCCGGTTCCGCTGCTCCGGTGCCGCTGTGGCCAGTCCTAGCACGACCAAACTCGACCCGCTCCGCTTCGTACACGCTCTCGTTGCTGTCCTTCCCAGNCTCCCTCGTCGCACTTAGGGTTCTCGGTCTGAAGATTCTCGCGCCGAAGGGTCAACCAGCCCAATCAGCTCGTCACCACCTGTCTGTCCCCTCCTCCTTTGATGACAAAACCAGGTTAATGAGACAGTACAGCTCCCTCTAGCAAACCTAGGGCCGTGTACATAGTGCTCGTCCACCTTTCTGATGACGTCTGCCTCCGCGCACAAAGATGAGATGGGCATTGCTGCCTACACCGACGGCCTGGAGG